TTGTTTACATTATATTGAAGTCTATTAAGTATGTGATAACATTATGTCTAAACAAATATATATAATGTTTACATTATATCTGTATCTATCTGTGTATATATATTCTATCTGTGTGTGTGTGTGTATATATATATATACAGATAGATATAGATATATGGAGAGAGTGATAAATACCTTAATTAAATATGGCAAACAATAAGTGAGCACATACTGCAGGAAAAGCGGCAGATAGGGCTGTGACAACTTTCAACTTGTGGGAAAAAAAGTAGTATGTGCCAAGTACAACAAAGCATAGTAAAACTACTTGAAAATGTACTTGAATGCAGAATATGTAAAGAATTCTTAAAACTCAGCAATAAAAAAAATGCAGTAACCCAATTTTAAAACAGATACATCTAAATAGACTGTTCTGTGAAGGTATACAGATGGGCAGTGGGCACATAAAAAATGCTCATCATTATTAACCATCAGAGAACTGCAAATCAGAACCACAGTGAGACAAAGTTAGGATGACTATAAAACAAATGATAGAAAAAGCAAGTAAATTGGTGAGTTTGTGGAGAAATTGATGCCCTTAAATATTGCTGATGGAAATGTGAAATGGTACAACTGCTTTGGAAAACAGTTTGTCACTTTCTCACATAACAGCTATATTTGTTGTTGTCACATTAAGATACGTGTGTATATATATGCACATATATCAGAATAATTGTACCCAGGATAACTGAAAATATGTTCACATAAAAATTACTCATGAATGTTTATACCAGCATTATTCGTGAATAATTACTCGTGTCAAAAGGTAGCCACAAGTTCAAATGTCCATCAACTGTGGAATTTTTGTGCAATAGAATATTATTTGACCTCAAAAGGGAATGAAATACTGATACATATTACAGCATAGTTGAAGCACAAAAACATGCTTAATGAAAGAAGCAAGATATTACATATGATGTGATTCCATTTATATGAAATATCCAGAATAGTCAAATCTATAAAGACAAAGTAGATTAGTGGTGGTATAGAGGGAGTGGGGAAGATAGGGTCTATCTGAAAGACACAGTATTTCTTTTTGTGGTTTTGATAATGTTCTAAAATTGATTGTAGTGATTGCAAATATCTGTGAATATGCTAAAAATCAACTGAATTGTGCAGCTTAAATGGGCAAGTTATATGGTAATGAGTTACCTCAGTAAGACTTAGAAAATATGATATTGACAGTTATGATAATGGTTAAACTACACATGAAGTTTAGGTTTCTTGTATATATAGTCAGAATCATGTGGCTTAAAAGTCATGATGATGTCACCAATTTGGTATTTATTGTTACATTAGTTGACTTTTCCTCCAGTTTAAAAAAAAAAAGATTTCAGTGACATGCAACAAGAAACATTTATTTCTTGCTCTTGTTTCATGTATCTGCCACAATGGCTCTTCCGGTTTCATGTTGGGTTTGTGTCTGTCCATCCATGTATTTTCTTGTTGCAGAATTCAAATTCCTGAAGGGGATCTGCTGTCCTCATGGTGAAGAGCAGGCATGCAAAAGGGTTGTTAGAATTTACTTTGCCTTTTAACCCTTTGTTTGGGACTGAATCACTCATTTTTACTCATGTGTTTTGCATAATGGTGAAATTACAGTTTTTAAATATGTGAGTTTATTATTATTCCTACACTTCAGATCTACCATACAAGTTAGTCAGATCTACGATGCAAGAAAGTAAGTCTTTTTCAACTTTCCCCATTCAATATATAATTTTCCAAGTGAAAATACTGGTTCTCTGTAGCAGTAGTCTATTTCCTCAATTTTGCACCCAAAATATCACAAATCACTGTGGAAATACTGATTTCCAGTCTACCAGAATAATAATACCTTCAGAATAGCATCAAAATAACCATGCCAACAATGTTGGTAATTACTGATATGAATATTGAAAAAAAAATCGAGTTTTTTATTTGTTTTGGTCTAGCATATTCCAGTAATGATTTCAAATTGCTGTGTTTTATATTTAATTAAAACTTTCTCTTTGTGAGGGTGTTCTGTCAATTTATTTCTCAGCTTTTGTTTTGTTTTGCTTTCTCTTAGAGATTCAAAAATATTTTATAATTATATAAATTATTTATAATTATTCCAAGTTACATGTACAAAAAAAGAGTAGATTTAGGGGAAGTCTGCTTGTACTCTCTGCTCACAGTTTTGATTCATAACTTTTTTAAAAAATGATTTTTTTTTTAGATTTTTATTTTATTTGTATATACAGAATACAGAACTGGGGTACAGGCCAGAGGCTCGGGGGCGGCGAGGGGCTTCACCAGAGACAGAGTGGGGAGCAGAACAGGCAGATCTACGAAGTACACTGCTGAGGGGAGCAGTGGGCGGGTCAGGAGAGGTCTGCCATGCCACGTGGTCACCTCCGGGGCAGGTGGGAGTCGAACTCATGAGGAAGTGGCTTTAGCCTCTCAGTGCAGTGCTTTAACCCGCTGCGCCACCAGAGAGGGCCTAAAAAAATGATTTAATTTTTAACCTGGATGCAAAGATGGTCAAAACACTACACGACATACACCTCAGTAACATCTTTGAAGATACAGCACCCAATGCAACAGTAGTGAAGGCAAGGATAAATAGATGGGACTACATCAAGTTAAAGAGCTTCTGTACAGCAAAAGAGACATTGCAAATAGCAAACAGACATCCCACTGATTGGGAAAAAATTTTCTCACACAAAACTAGTGATAAAGGATTGATCACAAAGATATACAAAGAACTGATGAAACTCAACAGAAATAAACAACCCCATCAAAAAATGGACAGAAGAGCTAAAAAGACACTTCTCCAAGGAGGAAGTACAGATGGCCAACAAGCATATGAAAAAATGTTAAATCAACATCAGTTGTAATAAGGCAAATGCAAATTAAAACCACAATGAGATACCACCTCACACCAGTGAGAATGGCACGTCTTAAAACAACTAGCAACAACAAATGTTGGCAAGGATGTGGAGAAGAAGGAACTCTCCTGCACTGCTGGTTGGAATGCAGTACAACTACTATGGAAAACTGGAGGTTTCTGAAACTGCTAAAAATGGAGCTTCCATATGACCCAGCAATCCCATTCCTAGGTATCTACCCAAAAGACACAAAAAAACTGATTCAAAAAGACACCTGCGTCCCCATATTTATTGCTGCTTTACAATAGGGAAGACATGGAAACAGCCCAAAAGTAGATGACTGGATTAAAAAGATATAGTACAGTGCCCTCCCTGGTGGCGCAGTGGGTTAAAGCACAGCACTAAGAAGCTTAAGCCACTTCCGCATGAGTTCGATTCCCGCCTGTACCGGAGGTG